GGGGACGGGGGTGGGGGTGGGGGGACAAGAGACAGGTTAGAGAACTGCACTCAGAGACACATCAGCCCTCTGCTCTGCCCGGAGCCACAGGCACCCTTGACCTTGCACGGAGACACATGTGCCCTCAATCACGCACAGACAGCCACGCGGCCCTCCTCGTTTACGCACGGAGTCACACGTGCCCTCAATCAATCGTGCAGAGCCACGTCGTGTTCGTCCTCCGTCACACGCGGAGCCACAGCCCCCCCTCGACCCCCTCCCGTCGCGCACAGAGTCCTCCGCCTCCGCCAGTGCCAATCAGGAGACGCCCGTTGGAAGCGTGCTGGGAGCTTTAAGAGGAGGAACAGGTGGGGTTCATTCCGAGTAATACGCTTAAAATTCAACAGAGCCAAACACGCCAGTGTGGCGTCGATATTAAAGGATGCTCCAAAGCCACACGGAGCTAGCGGACGCCTTCCTGGACAGCAGTGGAAGCTAAGCAGGGTCCTCTCCACAGTGCCCAGTCTGCTAGGCTCGCTAACTCCTCAGTGTGGGTGGGGTGGGAGGGAGGGAAGGGTGTTAACGGTCCTGTGCTGTTTAGTAGCCCCATAATTAAAAGTATTAACCATGCCCATTCAAGTAATTCCCCTGAGCTTTCCCATGGGCCTTTGTTTTCTTTTAATACCAAAGACAAGGAAGTTGGTCACAAATCGCCTCGAATTAGCCCCGTTTCCCCTTCCCCACCCCACTTCTAATCAAATGTGACAAGTAGCCGGCCTTTTTTTTTTTTTGCTTTGAAATAGTAAAATAGTAATAAAAGTCAAATTCTGTGTGTTATATCATTAGCCAAACCTCAGATACAAAGACATAATAAGTCTATCTCACATGGATGTTTACAAGGCCCTTTGCTTTTTCTTTCCTTGACTGTGGGGGACCCTCGCACTTATGAGCATTGGGGATCCAACCATCCCAAGGAGGGATCATGGCTGCTGGGCAGGCTGTGGCTAAGGCAGGGTAAGTGAGTGGCTGATGTGGTCTCTTCTAAATTGTCTGCTTCTGAAAACCATGTTCTCCTGCCTCATCTGGCCCATGATTGTCCCTGCTCAGATTTGAAATGTAGACTACTCACAACATGGAGTCATATCCTCAGAGTTTGCCCAGAGAGGAAAACCACAGAGAGTGTGGGCACAAGGAAAGCCACGGGAGAGGGAAAAGAGAGGAGGGTGAAGAGGACACACATTTCAGGGAACTACTTAATAAATGCTGATTTTTTTTTATTCCTGGGGCATACGTAGCATCTTATGTGACATTTACCCTCACTGTAGGAGTTCCTGCAGACCATATCTGCACCAGCTTGCTCAATGCTCTGAGCAGTCACCAGGTGTAGATGGAACCGGTTTATACCTTCCCACAGCTAGCCTCAGGACATACTTTCCTCCTCTGCTGGTGATGGTCTAGTGCCCAAACAGAAATCTCAGAGTGTCCCAGGTCGTGGGCTGGCTCTTCCCACTTACTTGCTAACAGAGAAAGTTAAAAGGTCAGCCTTGTCGGGCACCTGGGGTGTGCTAAGTAGCCTCACTACATAGGCTGCAATCCCATTTTACAGAGAGAAAAACAGAGGCTGGAAGAGTCCATGTTAATTGTTCTGTGTTCATGGCTTCTGCCGGTAACTCTGAGGCACAGTGAAAAGGCATCTCGTGGATGTAGCCGGCCGGGGTGTTGACAAACAGGGGAGCTGGTTTGGAAAATCATTTCTGTCTCCCCGTGGGAGCATGAATAAAGCCAGGAGTTATATGGGTGGTCTGGGCACTCTGTTTGCCTTTGCTCTTTGTACTGTCTCTGGTGTTCTCGGGACACGTGGCCTGTAACCCAGTCATTTCTCATTCCTGTGAAGCCATGATTGGCAATAGGAAGCAAGGTAATCCCTACTTAGACACAGAAAAAGCCGAAGTCTGCCCAAAGCACAGAGATTCTTTTTCCATCCACCACCCACCGCTGCTGGTGCCGGCCCCCTCCCCTTCCCCTCCTGCAAACGGGACCCACCTTCATAGTTTGGCACAGGTCCATGCCGGGCAGCATTTACAGGAGGCTCAGAAAGGTTTTTAGCTGGCGCTGGGCTGCTGGGCACTAGGGGGTTGGCGTAATGCCATTGGCATTCGCCGCTGGCTGGCAGCGTGCTCAGGAAGAAGCGTGCCACCTCACACGGGGATCCTTGGGGCTGCCCGAACTTGGCGGGCAGCGCCGGCTTCTTGCTGCTGAAGACGTGCGGGTCCAAGGGGAAGTGTCCGTAATGGTAGGAGAAGGGGAGGCTGTAGGGCGGCCCGTACAAAAGGTCGCTGCCTTCTGAATGGAGCTGCTGTTCTGGGGGAGCCGGAGCATTTGTGGGGGGACTGGCTCTCCAGTTTCCCGCCTGGCTGCACTCCAGTTTGTCCATTTGGACCGAGCTGTATTGCTGCGCAGCAAAGAAGACAGATGAGAGGCCACCGGAGAGGTCACCAGCAAGCCACCTTCCAGTCCCACAAGACCGGATCCTAGGGGGCCCTGACCCCCATGTTACTGTGAGGTCCCTGAGTGGAAAGATCCTATACTGCAAGCTGACCACACGCCAGATGCTTGTGGACGCTTGCCACATCCCAGAGCTCAGTCATGACCTTTTAAGAGGGCAAATTTTCATTTTGATATTGCCATAAGCCAAATGAGGTAGCACACACCTGTCCTGGCTTTTGAGGAATGGAACAGAGGATCACTTGAGGCAGGAGTTCAAATCTAGCCTGGTCAACATAGTGAGACCCCCACCTCCAAAACAGAATCTACAGGTTCTGTAGCCCGTATTCTCATGGATTCAGAGGGCCCATGTGCCCTCCTGAGTTAGCTGGGTTTTCTCATTCTTGACAGTTTACCTGGGGTGTTGTGTCTGAAGGTGTCAATACCATAGGGTCAAAACATCCCCCAGGGACCTTTTCTTGCTCTGCAAGGACACCTCTGAGCCTGAGATTCCTGGTTCATGCCCAGGTGTCCTGGGTCCGCAGACAGACGCTGCCATCTTACCCCATGTGTGTGTTACCTGTGGGGGGTAAGGGTTTGTTCTCAGCTTTGTCTTCATCTTCGTATTTTTGGGTTTAGCTGATTTCCTAGTTTCTTGTGAGGTAGACAAGGTAGTTCTCCAGGAGTCCTGAGGCTTAGAAGTGGACGCCTGGTCCAGAGACAGCTGAAGCTCCTTGTATTCGATATCCCTGGAAAGCAAGAGTGGGCAAGTCACGTCCAGCAGCAGCCCATGCCTCGGGGAGGAGCAGATCCCCCGAACAAGCTCATCCTCAAGTCCCAGCACATCTCTTCTCTGAGGCTGGACGTGTGTGATGAAGGACATCTCATCCTGACACAAACCACCAGCAGCTCCAGTGTGGTGGCCCAGCGAGTGCTGAACAAGGCCAGTACTGTCTGGCAAGAATGGTGGAAAGTAATACACTTTCTCTAAACCCATGCTGCTGTGGGACGTTCCGTATGCTGTGAAAATGTGTTGCTCCGATTGATTGATAAATAAAGCACTGATTGGCCAGTAGCCAGGCAGGAAGTATAGTATAGGCGGGACAAACAGAGAGGAGAATTCTGGGAAGAGGAAGGCTGAGTCAGGAGCCGCTGCCAGGCGAGGGCACCATGAGAAGCAGATGTTAAGATACCGGTAAGCCATGAGCCATGTGGCAAAGTATAGATTTATAGAAATGGGTTAATTTAAGATATAAGAACAGATAGCAAGAAGCCTGCCACGGCCATACAGTTTATAAATAATGTAAGAGTCTGTGAGATTATTTTATAAGTGGGCTGTGGGACTGCAGGGGCTTGACCGACCCAGAGAGAAACTCTCCAGCTACACCATGCAGCCCAGGTACCCTTCCCAAGGACTCTTTGACCATGGCAAGGGGTGGGCATGCTAACAAGGCTAAGCTGAAGGGCAGCAACTCCAGTGACCCCAGCAACCCCAGTGACCCCGACGGCCCTTGGTTTGTGTATCCGGGGCCTAACTGTTCTCTGTTGAGTGCCCCAGAAGCTTGGAGGGATGAACCTGCTTGGAGCCAGCTCCCAGCCTCACCCGCTGTCACACGGACTCATGTCCAGCCTGCAGAACCAACTGGCAAAGTCACACTCCCAAAGGGAGCGTCGCTGCAGAATGCTGCCATACCCAGCTAGTGAATTAAGGGGCAGAGGCATTTTCTCCCATGTGGTTTTGCCAGATCATCGTCCTAGAACACAAAGTGACCTGGTGACCGTTCTGTGAAAGAACCCAGAGTCTGAATCCTCACAGTGTTTAGGACGCCAAGGAGGACCCTTCTTTGGCATAGGCTGGGGACATAGAGAGTGAGAGACATGTGCAGGGCGCTCCAGGAAGGTTTCCCGATGACTGATAGTGGATTTATACTCATCTGCGTCATTTGGTGGCCCACATCTGTAATCCCAGTATGTGGGAGGCTGAGGGGTAGGATCATGAGGTTGAGGCTAGCCTGGACTAACGACAAGACTCTGTCTCAAAAACAGTTTTTTTTTTTTTCAATTAAACTTGGGTCTTTTGGGGACCAAATACCATCATTGGGAACAGAACATGTGGGAAGACAGACAGCTGGGAGATGGTGTCTGTTCCTGATGGCAGAAGCACAGAATTGTGTGTGCCTGACACCGGACATGAACCCTCCCTCTACACACTGTCCCCTCCTGGGCCCCGTCTTGGGCTCTGTACCAGGATCTAAACTACATCCTTAGAGGGCTCCCTCATCATCGCCACCGCTCCCTGGCACATGTTCCTGGCCGGGACCTCCCAAGCTCCCGGATTATTCCAGGAAGACGAAAAGGGGAGACAGATGGTTTCAGAGAGCGAGAGGAGCGGGAGATGGCGCTTCTGGGAGCAGCGGTGTGGCGAGGGACAGAAGAAGAGAGAGCGTTGGGGGAGAGAAACAAATGCGGCTGACTTACGTGAGGACATAATTGACACTCACGATGCAGTGAGGCCGGGAGGAGCGGCTGTTGTGGACCACGGTGGCGTAGCTCTGCACCCACACCCAGCCGCCCAGCTTGGACAGCAGCCGGTAGTATTTGGTGGTGACCTGGCCTTTCACCAGCACTGCAAATACAAGGTGACGTGAATCCGGGGGCCTCCGCAGTCCAGCCTGACCCTCCCCCCCCCCCCCATGCAGAGCCTTCTAGGGCAAAGGACCTTTGAGAACTTGATGGAGTGGGTGGACTTTCTGCACACACACCACACACACACACACACACACACACACACACACACACACACGAAGGAATGTCACCTACAACTTTGCAGACTCCCTGGAGTAGCCCCTCCCCTCTTGTTAAGAGCCCTGATTTAACAGTCCCTGTTTTCATGGGAGCAAAAAAAGCCCCCAGACATCACCAGTACCTGTAGAGTGGTAAAATCCGATTAGCTTTTTAGTACCAAAATGCCCCAATTACGTTTTAATCCCCCAAACCTTTAACCGGCAGAGGGACTACATTGTTTACACAGAACGCTAATTTCGGTGCATTCAGCCAAGTGTCAGATTGGTGCTGACGTTTGCCATCTGTTAGGACGCGTGTGTTCACTGGGAACCTGCTCCCGACTCGAGTGCCATTTATATTTTCTTCCCAATTACCCGTTTTCCTTGGGCTGTTAATTTCCTGTGCTGCTCATGTCAGAAAGCCCCCTGCTTAGTGACATGGCTCCTGAAAACTGGGCCCATGAGCCCACCTTCTGTGCATGCGTGCCAAGGCCGGGCGGCTGAGCGGTTCCCCTGCAGCCTCTGCGCGCCCATAAACTGCGACTCCCCCTTGCAGCCCTCAAGGAGGCAGATGGAGGAAAGCCCAGAAGGGAAGGAAAGTGCCGGAAGCTGTGGGTGGGCAGTGGAGGGGAGAAAGCTGAGCAAGGGCATGGCCATGGCAGGGATTTCACCCCAGCTCTAGAACATTCCTGCTTCTCAGGGCAGGGCTGGCCCGGGGCCCTACCCGGAAACCACCTGGACAGCTACAAGGGGAGAAAACAGAGGGCTAAGGCTGTGGCAGTGAGGCTCAATGGAACTAAAGGACCCCACACACAACAAGGTGCATGTCCAACACAAACAGTCCTCATGGTGTCCATGAGCAGAGATCCCAGTCTGCACAGCACACCCCAGGCTTCCCGCCGTTCATGGGGGATCTGTGTCAGCGGCTGTCACAACCACGTCAAGACATTTTGATGCACAAGGGAAGTGGTATAGATTGATAGTCAAGAGACTGTCAGCCTTGCGTATCAGGGCAAGGCAATAAAATCTCTGAAAGGTCTGTGATTTGGTTCTTCAGATATTCAGGATAAACTGACTCTGTCTTATCCAGCCAGGTGTGATGCCTCCCCTATAATTCCAGCATGTGGGAGGATGAAATTGAAGGATCGCCACAGGTTTGGGGCTAACCTGGGCTACAGAGTAACCGCCAGACTAACCATGGTGTGAGACCCAGTCTCAAACAAACAGACACATAGACACACATGCACATGCAGACATGAACACACACACACACACACACACACACACACACACACACACACACACTCCTGAATACACAGAGAGACTTCATGGTTGTTAATAAAAAGCATTTAGACCTAAGAGCAATGTGATCGAAGGGCATGTACAAACTGCCTGTGGTAGTTTGAATGTCATTGGCCCCCATAAGCTCATAAGGAACAGCACTATTAGGAGGTGTGGCTTTGTTGGAGGAAGTGTGTCACTGTGGAGATGAACTTTGAGGTCTCATATAAGTTCAAGCCGTGCCCAGTATTTCAGTTCACTTCCTTTGGATCAAGATGTAAGAACTCTCAGCTCCAGCACCACGTCTGCCTGCATGCTGCCATGCTCCCTGCCATGATGATGATGGACTGAACCTCTAGATTATAAGCCAACCACCTCATATGGTGATATTTTATTTGTATTCAAATGTTATTTGTATGTTAATAAATAAAGTTGCCGATGGCTTCTGTTGTGCAATGGAACAGCAGCTGAAAGCTCATGCCTCTCCTCTCAATACTAGACTGGCATTTAATAGAGGGATGTGGAGAAGAAGGGGATGCTGAGATGAAGCCATATATACACAGCCAAGAAGAATGGAAAGCTGAATTAAAAAACTGTCAACAATTTCCAGAATTTAAAAACCTGAATCATGACATGACACTAGTGGAATTCAGGTGTTTCTGGTACATGGACTGCTCTCACCCAATGTGAGGTTGAACTGTTGACCTTGTGTACATCCTACTTCACAAATGAGTCTGTCAGATA